CCCAATGATATCCCCTGAAGTTTTCTTAAAACCAAACAATAGCTTAAGAATACTTGCTTTGAGCATTGTGCTATTTAAAGACCTAGTGAGACAGGATCAAATTGACTACAGCAACCCCAAAAGCTTCCAAATTAATAAAGTAGCATATTAGCCAAGATAGTAGCCTTAGGGGACAGTGAGCTCATGTTAATGGTGGAGAACAAATCAGAAAAGCATGGCATTTTTCGCACAACATTTTTTCGCAAAAACTTGGAGAATGCAATCCATGTCACTGAATTGTGCATGTAGAAATAGCGAGCTGATGTATATTCTGATGAGTATTGTTAACATCCAGGAAAAATAAAAACGAAAGAATGCTTTAAAATGGAATGCATTAAGGAGCTGGGGTACAAGCATTCCTCTCCTTCCTGCCAGTGCACTTCCAAAAAAAAGTAAAGGTTTTAATTCTAGTTTCTGACTGTGGGGTCTTCTCTCCTGCAAGAGTATACAGGGAGATCGTGAGGAGAGGGAAGGTGGAAACTCCTACTGTCTCCTGTGAGCTTTCCTCCTTTCTTCATTACATATATCCACGTTGGGCTGATTGGAAAGTCTCCCAAGAATCTCACTCAGAAACCAAACTCATTGCCATCGAGTCAATGCTGACTCAGAGTTCTCCAGGCCTGCTGTTTAAGGGAGTAGAAAGCCCGCCTTTCTCCCTCAGAGCAGCTGGTGGATTTCAGCCTGACAGTGTAACCACTGCACCACGGAGGCTCCCTACAAACTCAAGGGCTGTAAAAATCATCACTAGTTGCAAAGCTGTTACAGTGCTGGGGGATATATACGTGTGTTCATACATAGTGTTTCAAAGAAATCTAGAGAAAGGATAAATCAAGATTGTTAGCTTTCCACCTTATTTTGAAAGTCCCTTTAACCCTTGCATCGACATATAGACCTCCCTCACCTTCCCATTTTCTGCTATTTCCACGTACTTTTCATGGCCTGGTCAGCTTAGTTATCTTTTAAACTTCAGCTCAGCTGATCTCTTTAATTAATTAATTATAAATTTTAAGTCATTTTATTGGGGGCTTTTACAACTCTTATCACAATCCATACATCCATCGTGTCAAGCACATTTGTACATACGGTACCATCATCATTTTCAAAAAAAATTTTTTTAACTTAAGCCCTTGGTATCAGCTCATTTCCCTGCTGCCCCACCCTTCCTCCCTCATAATTTATATTGTAATTTTCATGTCTTACATCGACTGCTGTCTCCTTTCACCCACTTTTCTGTTGTCTGTCCCCCCTGGGAGGGAGTTATATGTGGATCATTGATTGGTTTTCCTCTTCCCTCCTGATATCACTACTCTCATTATTGGTTCTAAGGGTTTTATCTGTCCTGAATTCCCTGTTTCCAGCTCTTATTTGTACCAGTGTACATGTTCTGATCTAGCCAGATTTGTAAGGTAGAACTGGGATCATGATAGTTGGGGGTTGCAGTGGGGAGGAAGCATTAAAAAACTAGAGAAAGTTGTGTGTTTCATTGGTGCTATACTGCACCCTGAAAGGCTCATCTCTTCCTTGTGACCCTTCTGTGAGGGAATGTCCAATTGTCTGAAGATAGGCTTTGGGTCTCCATTCTGCCCTCCCCTTCATTCGCATTGATATGATTTTTTGTTCTGGGTCTTTGATGCCTGATCCCACTGACACCTCATGGTCACACAGCCTGGTGTACTTTTTCCATGTGGACTTAGACTACTGCTTGTTTATCTTCAAGCTTTTAAGACCTCAGATACTATATCTTTTGATAGCCAGACACCATCAGCTTTCTTCACCACATTTGTTTATGCACCTGTTTTGTCTTCAGCGATTGTGTCAAGACAGGTGAACATCTCAAAACGCCAGGTTATTAGAACAAAGTGACCTCTTTTAAAGGAAACCTTCTCTCGCCGATCCCCAGGCAATGTCTTTTCTGTCTGCACTCTGTGCCTTTACCTATTTCCACATCTATTAAACTGTTAGGTTATAGGGAGATACTACTGCCCTTCTTTGTGTCCGCTGGTCATAGTGCTTTGTCTCAGGAAACCTGAGTAAATGGCTGACTAAGGGCAATCCTTGTTCAAAGAGGATGCTGGTGACCTCCATCAGATTACAGAGAGATATGAAAGCTAGCATAAGAAAATAGAACAGGCTGAGAGAATGCTGTGGTACTCTTTTGATGTATATAATAATGCTATCTATTTAAAAGCTACAGTTATTTGTGTATAGCTTGTAAATGTAAATAGATTCTTTTCTAATGCTCGATTTTCCAGAGTAAATTGGATACAAAATTAGTTCATAAATTTTAAAAAATATTTTAATAAAGCAATATAGTTATAAAATTCACATATTTTTCATGAATGCATGTATATTTAAATAAAACCAAACTACTTTATAATTTAAAATTTTTAAACAAATATGAATATGTCCTCAATCCAGTCTATATTTTTCATTTATTTTGAAGCTATTACAAACAAAACAACCAACAAGACACTGTCATTGAGTCAATTTGGACTCCTAACAATGCAATTTTTGAAACTATAAAAGAGCCCCAAATCCACATTATATCAAAATAATCATATTCTTTCATAATACCATCAATTACTTATCAAAGGGAAAAAATGCACTAAATGTTTAATTCATTAGAAAATTTTCATCATAAATGCAAATATTTTATAAGACCATTTAATCCTTCCCCCTTTAGCACTTATTTTCACTCTGGAAGAATGGGATGAGGTGATTGTGACTCATGTTGGGCACTGTGAACCTAGTGTAGCAATAAGGTGCACAACAATATAAGGTCAGAGCCATCAGCTATTTCTAAATCTATTTGATCAAACACGTCGTCCTTTCTGCAAATTCTCATATTCAAACCATGGTATTCACCCCAAGCCAAGCTCTCTCACCCTCTAATAATGTCATGGTTGCTTTTGAAACTTTAGAGGGGAGGATTATCTCTCAGAAATGCATACTACTCATAAGCTCAAAGCAAGCTTGGATATTTAACCATCCTTGATACAATCAGAATGAGTATACAGTAATCATCCTAATCAGAAAGGAAGGAGGACACCCACCAAAATTACGAGATTTTGTTAGTTTCTTACATTGGTTTAGAATTTTATGGATTAAAATATATAATCTCTTGCTCAAAAAAAAAAAGTTAAAAGGCAACAACAAGAGAAAACCCTTTTTGGTGAGGTAGGTAGAGCAGATCTCATAGACACTGAAGTTCCCTTGCCTAAGATGGCACAAATAGACGTTGATGTCATTGGAACTTGAATTCTGAGGCGCAGTCTGTCCTTCCAGCCCACATGCCTCTTGCTGACGTGAAGACAGCAGGGGCAACGCAATCGACTCTAAAGCCCAAGCCACTCAGCGCGTGCCATGCAGATGTCTTGAAGTGCGATGAAAACCAGTACTATGATCTTGGAACACAAGTCCACATGTCTTTTTCAATGGGGTTCTGGACAGTTCCGATGCACTTGATAGATGAAAACGAGTATGCAAATAATCCTGTATTGCCATAATTATCAATAGAAGTATAAATAATTATAGCCTGGGGACAAACTATTTGAGAGCCATCCAGGTGGTTCTGACCATAGTGACTGCACAACAGAGCAAAACACCGTTCAGTTTGGCACCAGCGTCACAACTGCTCTTATGCTTTACCCTGCTGTTGCAGCCACTGTGTCAGTCCTTCTTGTCGGGGGTCTTCCTCTTTTTCATTGCCCCTCTACTTTACCCAGGTGGATGTCCTTCATAGGGACAGTACATTATTTAATGTGGCTCTCCTAGCCAAAGTCTCTAACTCCCACCAAACCACCTTTTCCTGCATGGGTCTGATAAGAAAGTCGGGGGAACCTACTGCTAGGATTCACCAGTGAGAAACCGTGAACAAGATTCTCTCTAATCACATCCTGCTGTGTACAAAAGGAGTCCTCTGAGAAGCAGGAGTAGGGAATCTCGTTACCAGGAAGAGCCAGCAAAGGAGCATGTCCTCTGGACCCCAGATATCCATGTAGTGAACCTCTGGGTCCGGATACAGGTATAACATCAAAGGTGCAGCAGCAGAACCAGGAGCCAGAGCATGGAACGGAGTGAAGGACTTCTCAACCCATGGGGCCAATAAAGCTGAGCGCTTTTATGTAGGAAGCTGGCTTGCGCAGTGGGTGCCTCTGGGCACGTGTGTCAGGGCGCTGGGTTTGCTGACCCACGGAGCTCACGCCGAATGCCTTCAGGTTGAGGTTTACAGTGACGTGTTATGGCCCTTTGAGCATTTTTTAGCAGACCTGAAAGAACTTTTTCTCACTGGAATTAACTTGTTAACTTCCTTAATAAACCCTTTAATCACGAATTTTGTCTGTGAGTTCTGTGTAGCTGCTGCAATGGATATTAGAACCCAGAGGGGTACACTAGAGGACATTAATTAAAACCACACATCCTTTTCCAGGAACATGTGATAACATGTGAGACGAAGTTTCGCCATCCCTGCCTCTACAGGGCACTCTGGGTTCACTTATTCCAAAAGAGATTTGTTGGTTCTTTTGGCGTCCACGGTACTTCCCACACCTTTGCCAGCACCGTCATTCCAACGCGTTGAGATTCTGCTTTGGTCTTTCTTATGAGGTGATTGAAAACATCATGGCGTGGGCCAGGTACACCTTGCTCCTCAATGTAACATCCTCCTTTTTAACATGGTCAAGAGGCCTTGTGCAGACTTTCCCAAAGCATTGCATCATTTGATCTCTTGACTGCTGTCGCATGAGCACTGGTTATGGCTCGAAGCACGAGGAAAGCCCTGGCAACTTCCATCTTTTCTCTGTTTGCCATGCTGTTACCTATGGGTCCAGCTGGCAAGGCAGATACTGAAACGGTTCAGTTTTCAAAATCATAAAGAATAATCCTGATTAAAAGGCAGAAAGTAAATTAAGTGTTAAGATTCCGATTTCATAAACTTTTTCAATTGTATTGTTTAAAAATATGAGAAAAGATTCACTTTTGTCTCTCATTTTTTCCCCACTGTAAAACTTGGTTTTACCCTGGGAAAACCAACACGTGTGCTAGTTAGCTTTCTTTGAAGCCTGGCTTCATGACTAGAAGGCCTCCACTGCGGGAGTGATCTTGCGGAAGAACTTATGACCTTGGGAGTTTGTACTTTCAAATATATACCCTGGAGGAGCAGGGTAGCTAGCAGGGCAGACATCCTGCTTCTTCGGCGTGTACTCTGTGGAGTACATGGTCGCATCGTCAAATGGAACAGAACTTCTCAGAGAAATGGTTAAAGGTTTGCAACTCTTTGTGGGAATCAGGTCATGTGGCACATAGTGAGATCGGAAAGTGCTCAAACCATCAAATTTTCCAGATGGGTTCGGTATCTGCTGTTGCCTCTTAATAATTCCCTGACGACAACTTTCCCACACTGGGAAATCTTCCTTTGTGGTACTCTTCCCTTGGAAGGGAACGTTGCTATTTCTTCTATGAGAAATGGGCCTTATGGCAGCCACACGGCTGGCCTGATGTGGGACATAGTCGAGATGACTCGTGCTACTGAACTGCATAGTCCCTGCTGGTGGGACATACTCTGCTGCTTTCCTGACAGGGGGTGGTGGCATTTCCCAAGGCTGAAAACTTTCTTGGAATTCAGTGCTTCCTGAAAACGGAACATTTTGGGTCACTCTGTTGTAGGCAGGTTTGCAGATCTTTGCAGTCTCACCAACAAGACCCTGGAAGTCATTGCGGTGAGTTGTGAGAGCCTCAAAAGGTTGGCTGGTTGGCTTGTACACTTCTTTTGGCCTTGCACATGTGAATTCCAGCTGATGTGGGACATAATCAAGGCGATGGCTGGTGTCTCCATTAAAGGGGATGGTGGAAGGTTGGAGCGCAAAGGACGGCTTGAAGCTTGGCCGTGGTTTTACCTCCTGAGGCATGTAGTCATCCTGAAATGTTGTTGAGTTTCCGAATTTCACAGTAGGTGGGTGGTAATTTTCTTTGGGTTTATAAAGTTCGCTTTTCTGAATGTCCCAAGCCCTATAATCATCTTGAAAATGAAAAAATAAAAAATGTTTAATTATTGAATAATCACATCTTACATACTTCTCACAGTACCCAATCCTTCCATTTTTTTTATCGTCTGAATGATAGTATCAAATATGACATTTGTCGAATTCCCCTCAGACCTGTTTTTTATTTCCACTCTTCTTCCTACCTACCAGCTTGAATACACATAACTTCCTACTTCCAGACTCATTTGATCCCATAGCAAGGGAGCAACACATTTGAGCCTTTTTGTTGATCAGTTTTGGAGTCCAAAGGGCTGAATTTTGGATGACAGACTTTAAGAGATAATTATTGTGCTTCCTCACTTGGGAGCTGCAAAATCTGGTTGAAATTCTCACGCTAATATGAATCATATAGAATATACAAGTTAATTTGAGGTTAACATGAGTCATAAAATTCAAGCTGGATTCAGAAGAGGAGGTGCTATGAAGGCTATCATTGCTGATGTCAGATGGATCATGGCTGAAAGGAGAGAATTTCATAAAGATGTTTCCTTGTGTTTTATTGACAACGCAAAGGCGTTCAGCTGTGTGGGTCATCACAGACGTTAGAGCCTGCCTTGAGAGGAATGGGAGTATGTCGCCGTGCTCCGGGAGCACTTATAGTCGGCCAAGAGGCAGTCGTACACACAGAACGAGGGAACACTGCATGGTGTGAAACCAGGAAAGGTGCGAGTCAGGGCTGCATCCTTTCACAATACCATTGAATCTGTACGCTGAGCAAATAATCTGAGAAGCTGGACTACATGGAGAAGAATGTGGAATCAGGATTGGAGGAAGGTTCGTTATCAACCTAAGACACACAAATGATACAATTTTGCTTTCTAAAATGGAGGATTTAAAACATTTGCTGATGAACATCGAGGGCTAGAGCCTTCTTCATGGATTACATCTTAATGGAAGAGAAACCCAACTCCTCATAACTGGACTAATAGGCAACATCATGATAAATAGAGAAAAGACCGACGTTGTCAAGGATTCGAGTTTACTTGGATCTATGATCAATACTCAAGAAAGCAGCAGTTAAGAAATCAAATAATGTCTTACACTGGGCAAATCTGCTGTACGAGTGTTGAAGAGCAAGGCTGCCCCTTTGAAGACTAGGTATGCCTGGCCTAAGTCATAGGATTTTCAATTGCTTCACATGCATCTTAAAATTGGAAAAGGAATTAGGAATACCAAATAACTGATGCATTTGAATTATGGCCTTGGCAAAGAATATTGAACCTAGCATTGACTGCCAAAGAACAAACAAATCAGTCTTGGAAGAAATGCAGCCAGAATGTTCTTTAGAAGTGAGGGTGGCGAAACTTCATTTCAGGGACTTTGGACGTGTTATCAGGAAGAACCGGGAGAAGGACATCATGCGTGGTAAAGTAGATCGGCAAAAAGGAGGAAGACCTTCACAGAGATGGACTGACATAGTGGCTATAGCAATGGACTCAAACACAATAATGATTGTGAGAAAGGCACAGGACCGGGCAGTGTTTCATCCTATTGTGTAGGAGTTGGGACTGACTGAACGGCACCTAACAACATAAGCCATAAAACTGAAATACCTGGATCAAATCAAGTGCCATGATGTGTGGGCAAAAATGATGTCAGGATTAGTACTTGCTTTGGAAGGACTTCTCCAAAGAGAGACAATCTCCACTCTATTATAGGGTCACTAGGAGTCGAAACCAGGAGTCTGGTAGCATAGTGCTTATGTGCTGGGTTGCTAACCCAACCCAAGTTCAGAAGTTTGAAACCACCAGCCACTGTGTAGGAGAAAGACGAGGCTATCTACTTCTGTAATGTGTTACAGTCCTGGAAAGCCACAGCGGCAGTTCCACCCTGTCCTACAGAGCCGCTGTGAGTCGGAATTGACTCAAAGGCAGTGAGTTTGGCTTTATGAGAACTGTATTCCTAAAGGGCTCCCTAAACAAAGATAAAGGAGAACTTGCACTATTTTATAAAGATCTTTGACTACCTTTTCCTTTTCATGAAATGAACTTGATGATTCCAACAGATAGAGTACCACTTACTGCTCAGGCCTGAACTGAGTACTTTTCAAGAGTATTTGCAATAAATGTGGAATTTACAAGTGAACCTCAGAGCTAAAATATGAGATTAAAATTTCAATACTGCAAACGTGCTTCCTAATGCTTATTAGACCAGGGATGGGAAATTGGAGTGCTTACATTTTAACTACTACATGATGGAAAAGGTTATAAGCTGGAAAATACTATCGAATTAATTTCACCATAAGATAAGTATTCCTAAATAGCAAAATTTAATCTCTAAAATACTGACATTCATAATACAATATAAAGTATTTGGATCTGGCCTGAAATGTGTACAATGCAACAGGAAAAATGAAAACTCAATTGATTATACCTGGCTACTTACTTCCAAGAGGTACATGCCTCATATATAGGGCAAGGATCGATCTAGCCCCGGTGGCACAGTGGGTGACATGTTGGGCTCCGATCCACAGGTCAGCAGTTTGAAACCACCGCCACTCTGCTGGCGAAAGACAGGGCTGGGAGGAGTCCCATATGGGAAACCCACAAGGGCAATTCCTCTCTTTTCTATGGGTCACTGAGTCAGAATTGACCTGATGGCAGTGAGACAATACAAGTTATCCTCTATTTTTGTTTTTAGAAAATTATTTTTCATCATGTCTTCAAACAATTCAATCGGGTTCTCTTCTTCGTGGATTCCATGTAAAAGTGCCCCATAGATTTTAGATGCTGTTTCCTCACTCATCGTATTTAGGGCTAGTTTTATTAAATTATCTCAAGTTTACTATTTTGTTCTCCTTGGCTGGGCTGAGTCTAGTGTTTGAAGGCATACGTAATTGTGTGTGTGTGTGTGTGTGTGTGTGTGTGTAGGGGTCGTGGTGGGGTGATTATTTCTAGCATTCCCACTTACTTTCATAGTTTCTCTCTGATGAAGTTTTCCATCTTTTCATATATTATTTCCATTTGAGCTTTTAACATATCAATAATCACTTAAAACTCACTGCTACTGAGTCAATTCCAACTCATAGCTCCCCCATAAGATACAAAAGAGGTGCCCTTGCTAGTTTCTGAGGCTATAAGTCTTTATGGACGCAGAAAGCGTCATCTTTCTCTGGTGGAGTGGCTGGTGGGTTAGAACTGCTGACCCTATGGTTAGCAGCCCAGCTCATAACCACTATATTACAAGGGCTATCAATGATAGTTTTTTAAATTCCTTATCTCGTATGTAATTATATCCCAAGTTATCTCTGAATCTGGTTTTTATTTGGGTTCTTGACAATTATTCCCTCTTTCCTTTTATTTTTTATAACTTGTGGTTTGCTGATGAAGGCTGGACATTGTGTGAAGGAAAATAGAAAAATAATACTTATACCCAGAAATTTATATACATCCTTTTTTGCTAACTCTTTAGTTAGCAGAGTTGAGTCATTCTTGCTAGTATTTAAACTTTTAAACTATATTTGGTTCTTCATTGGATATTAGATGTCATCTTCATTTTTTAAGTGGCATGTTACCTTTGTAGGTTGGGACAGTGTCCAACTTTCCTTTTTTAACTTGCTGTCTTTCCAAAGGCCGGGCTATGGCCACAGGCTGCACTTTATAAGAATTGAAATCCCGCTTGTAGGTAGTACCAAGATCAATCTGTCCAAGTTTGGGCTTATATTCTTCTGGTACATGACGAGGCTGTTTGACTATTTCATATGGACGATAATCTGACCTGAAATATATATGTATATATTTCAAACACAGGCTCACAGGTTCTCTTATTTATAATTATTTTAATACAGTATTAAAAATGTCAAGATCTTTTTTATTTGAAAATTTGAGAAAAGATTAAAATAGTAGCAGTTGATACATAGTTTGAAAAAAAAAAGAATTCTATAAGTTTCTGCTCAATGATTAAACTAGTGAATATGACAAAAATCCTAGTTTTCAATGTATCCTTACAATGGATTTTTTTGTTAGTTGGCAATAAGTTAATTCCTCATGTAATTGCTATTTTGCTCACATGGAAGGAAATCTCAGGTGATCTGATTAGCCTGAAAAATATCCCAAGGGAAACATATCCCTTGGGTCCATTGTCAAGGGTCTAATTCATCCTGCTTCTAGATTCTATGTAACTATTCAGACACTTTCTTCTCACTGAAGTCAAATTGCCATCCTACTCAGGCCGTTAGAGATCAATCAAAACTGTAAGATAGATATGAGTCTCACTCATGTATGGCTCTCCTAGGAGAAGGGAGACATAGGTGGTATGATAATCCATATGATACATGATAATCCAACTGCTGTAGATATTATATTTAACTATGTGGGAGAGGCAGGAGTGTAGGCACTGAGGCAGATGCGTGAAGACCACTGATTCACACTGACCTGGTTCCTAATCCAGGCTTCATTTACTATCAGCACCACTTGACAAATTCCTCGACCTGTCTATGCCTCAGTTTCCCCATATGTAAATGGGGCACGAATATCGTCTACTTTATATGGTTGTTTTTCAGCAGGGGTGTCAAACTGGCAGCCTGCAGGCTGCATGCGGCCCCCGAGGTAATTTTTTGTGGCCCACCATACTCTGAAATAAAATGTAACAAGGGAATTGTGTGTACAGTATTGCCTCAATCTCTCCTAAGTGCTATTTTCTTCATAACAATTTTTTTTCTATCTTTATTTTATTTCAGAGCATCGTAGGCCACAAAATATTACCTCGGGGGCCACATGCAGCCTGCGGGGCGCCAGTTGGACACCCGTTTTTCAGGATTATCCACACACATACTTTAGAGGACTGTTTGGTATGTAAGAAGGGCAGCTAGGCTGCTAACAGCCAAGGTCTGCAGTTCAAAACCATCCGCTGCTCCTTTGAAGTGTTTGAGTGTGCTATTATGAAAACTTGGAACATGATGGCTTGGTGCTGACAGATGGAGAAAAGTCGTTCTGTTTGAGGACATTTAGGAAGCAGAAGTGATAGGACCAGATGAGTTGAATATTGGAAAAAAGGTGAGGGAGGAAGAAGGCGTGCATGATTTCTGCCGTGTGCAGCTGAAGATGTGATCTTACTTGCTAAGATAGGGAACAGGTTGGAAAAGATTTATTGAGGGAAATAGTTTTAGTGGAGGCACGTTGAGCTTTGAGGCACTTCATCTTCATTTCTTAAGTGGCCTGTTACCTTTGTAGGTTGGGACAGTGCACACAGGAAAAGCCTGAACACACACCACCACAAGGCCAGATCTGTTCTTCCTCATTCGTCTCCAACAACAGAGTGCTTCCATTAACTAACTCACTGCTGCTAAGTCCATGCTGACTCACAGCAACCCTGTAAGACAGAGTGGGACTGCTCCATAGGGGTTCCAACACTGACGTCTCATGGGGGCAGAGAGGCTCGTCTTTCTCCCATGGAGCTGCTGCTGAGTTTGAACCACCGGCCTCGGGGTGAAGTCACTATGCCAGCAGGGATTCCTGAAACCAAGTTCAGTCTTGGTTTCTCTGATTAGACTGGGTGTTAGAAAATATACCTCCAAACCCATGGCAACCTTCAACTGAGAAGTATTAATAATTAGAGGGTGAATGCCATTGTATTCATGCAAGATAGCTTGCAAGATTTGACATGCCCAGACTCCTAATCTGTCAAGGCAAACTTCCTGGCACGCCTATGCTGTATTATTGTAATGCAATCATGGTTCAGAAGCCTTGTACAAACCCAACGATCTGCTTTTTACAGTCCCCTCCTTCCTGTATTGCAGAAAAAGATTAAATGTTTGTAGTATAAGGGGGCACCTTGTTCTGTCAAGTTCCCAACACTTGTTTGTACAGAAAAATCAGCTGTCTGAGCAACATGAGCAACATGAAGGAGCCAAGCAAGAGGTGCAAAGCTCTAGGGTCTAGCTCTCCAAGACACTGCAAGTTCCCCAGTCAAAATACTAAGAAGAGATTCACTGTCTTACTAAATGGAGAGATAGAAATTTAAAAAGTGGGATTTTTCATTTCATTAGCATATCTGGACGCTTTGGAATTTGGAACATTTCTTTCTTTTTTTTTAACTATCAAAGGTTACTTGTACAAGTCAACTGGGGAAACTCAGAATTGGAAAGTGAATGCCTTTAAAAACTCTCCCAATTTAACATTTAGAATTGATGAAACACAAAAGCCTTATTCACTCAATTTAAACATGGTGCAATTTATAAGGATATCTCAAAAAGTATTACTATGCAATAATGGAAACCTTTATTGAACAAAGGATCAAAATGTGAAACTAGCCTTTCTTAACATATCCTCCATCTAGGTCTATACGCTCTGGAAACAGTGTTTCCTTCCTTCCCTGAAGAATTCTGTGTTCCCGGATTCATACCACGTCATAACAACTACTTGGCAGCCTCAGGGCATTCACATCATGTTTCTGTTCATTATCCTAGGCGTCTGGGAAACAGAAATAAGTCTGGAGCAAAAAGAGTTCGGGAACAAAAAGAAGGATCAGGGCTACAGAGAGGATGGAATAAGGCTTCCCAAGGAAATTCTCCTGAGACAGACCTCGCTCCCCTAGGAGAACAAGCACTGTCGTGATGGGGAAAGAGTCTTGGTGCAAGGTTCCTGGACTTTTTCCAACCAATGGAGTTTTCCATTTCCTTAACATTTCCTCATAAGCTCCCATGAGCATGATTTCTCTGCCATTCAGAAAAAATCTGTCAAGATTGCCCCATGGGAATCCAAAATAACCATCACCGTAACCTCCTGAGCCATCTCCCTCACCTGACTTTAACTGGCCAATAAAGCCCCTGGAAAGCTACTTTTTCGATTGGAAACCTCTCCCACCCCCCCACCCCCACCACTTCCTTTTGGAAGGCGCCCTAATGAGAATAAGACAAGTGTAGCGCTGAGAAAACCCGTGTGCTGCCATGCACTAGTGGCAGAGACATGTTCATGCACATATGTTTGGAATACACCTGTGTGCATGTGAACTGGAGTCCTAGTGGCAACACTTTTTGACATTGTTGATTTATTGGATTGCTTGTTTCGGTCCTGTCTACCCTTCAACACTGCAAACCACAGGAGAGTGAAGCCCTCTATATTGGGTGCCATGCCACATCCGGTGAGCCGCTGGTACTGACCCCCTGCAGGGCAGCTATGTCAACAGAAACACCAAAACACCAGCCAGGCTTTAAACTAGTCTCCTGGGACCCACTCCATTGCCTGCTGACTGCTCCATGGAACCTGCCAATTTGACCTTGAGGATGCTCTGAAGACGCCATGGAGGACTCTGGAAAGTCACGCACCTCCAGCAACAACTGGAGCCACCACAGTACTGCTGACGGCTCGGACTGCTTGAAATGAGGTTAAAAGACAGACTGATCTCATTTATAGGAAATACCTAGAGTAGGCCAATGCAGAGAGATCAAAGTTCATGTGAGGTTACTAGGGGTGGGTAGGAGTTGAAAATGGGACACCCTTGCTTAAGGGGTGCTGAGTTGCTGGTAAGGGTAATGAAAAAATCAGAAATGTACCGCGTGGGTGGTTGTCCAATTTTGGGGAAATAATTAAGGCCAGTGAATTGAACATTTCAATAAATGGGTGACATGCTAATGTTCTGTTATAGGTATTTTAGCACCAGTTATTTTTAAGTAGAAGTAATGACCCAAAGGTTTAAAAGCTCCCATCTTCTCTTTAAACAGAATGAGCCTTATATGAAAGAAGAATTGGCAATGGCTATGTATTAAAGCTGTTGTAGAGCATTTTAAAAGCTTCAAAGTGACAGAAAACTGACATAGGATTCCTTGAAAGGAGGAACCCTACTCAACTGTTTATACCGAAAGCTACAGATTTTACCATGAACACAGCACACATTAGAGTGAATGAATGAAAAAATTAACCAACCATGTTATCAAACATATGAAGAGATGATAAAGCTAGTCCTAGTGAAAACTTTGCCTTTGTCAAAGGGCATTTATAGAGGTCTAGATAAAGACATGTACATATGCAAATATATTTATATATGATGGGGAAATAGATCTATGTGCCTATATTTATAGGTTTA